CCCCCATCCGCGGCCGCCGCGTCCCCCCCGCCGCCGCCCTCCTTCTTCTCCCCCATCGCCGCCGCGCGCAGCGCCGCTCTATCCATGCCTCGGCATCGGGGCCGCGGGGTGGCCGAGGCGGGGAGCCCGGGGGCGCGGGCGCCTCGGAAGCGAAGCCCCGAGCCGGGAGGGCTGGACCAGGAGCGCACCGCGGCGCTGCCGGAGCCGGGACGCAAGGAGAGCCGGCCGCGAGCCCGCCGCTGCCGCCCAGCCGCGGCGGCAAAGCGAAAGCCGCGACGACCCCCCCAAAACCTTTCTGCTTCCTGGACCTTAACTCATTCCAGAGATTCTTTTCCCTAATGAAGTGACTACGTTGTTTCCGTTAATGCAAGACTGGCACGATCACACAGGCAAAGTTGATGTAGAATTGTCAACATTTCTTTTTGTACAGGTTCTGTCCCCATTGGACCACCTCCCACTAGGCCACCCAGTGCACAAGTGACTGTGTCCTTCTCCATCTCTGCATTGACTGCTGTGTCCACGGCCGATTATGAACCTCCAAGGGCAACAGCCATGAAGTGACGTAGTTGGCTTTCCAGGGCACCCACTCATGAGAGGACTCAGTAAAGCTTTGGTGAAACAGCAGCCATTGCTCTATGTTAATTGCTCTTAGAAAAATATTTAAGTGCCTGTTTGGGGCAAAAGTAAAGTAAAATTTAGATAGACCCAACGCTTGTCCTCTGGAAGCTTCCACCAAGACTAGTCACTGTCACAGACAAACATGTTGAGCTGGCAGAGCTAACAAAATTAAAAAATAAAATAGAGAGCTGGGAGGGAGACAGTATGAGACAACTTCAGGTGGCCCAGAGGAGAGCCAGACAGTCACTCTCTCCAGGGCTCTGGCCCTGGATTTTCTCCAGATAACACCGGGTAGTTCCCTTTTCAGCAGGAGATGAGGAAACCAAAGGCCTGATGATACGGAGATCTGGGGCCACAGTGGACCTCTTCACGGCAGGAGGAACCAGCAGAACGCAGGCTCAGCTGCTCATCTCCACAGGCCTCAAAAGAAGAGGACCCACTGGTGCCCCTCAGACTCAGGTGTTCAGGCCGGACCGTCCTGAAGTGCCCTGATCCCGTGGAGAAGCCAGCAGCCGCGGGTCGACACAGCCACTAACAGGAGGCATCGCAACCAAAAGCCAGGCTTGACCGCGGAGGGCGGAAAGGTTAGCATCTTCCTAGCCATTTCCTGAGGCTGGAGCCTTACACAGGACGTGGAGCCCCGCATCCAGGCTGTGTTGAGATGTCAGTAAGCCGGACCTCCCCTGAACAACAGTGAGGGCAGTTAGGTGGCTCCCAAAGATCCCTTCTCTCCACTGGAGCTGTCTGGAAGCCCAGGAAAGGGGACTCGATGGGACAAAAATGGCGCATTCCCAGGTCTTGTTCCAGTTTGTTGAGCAGAGAGCCGGCCGGGGGCCTGCGGAGAGGCCAGTGCAGGTTTACAGCCAGGGCTGAGGCCCTCAGGAAGGAGCCACGTAACAAACTGCTCACACACCCGCCAAAGCACGCAGGGCCTCCTGCCCTGGAGGAATGGCACACCTACGCCTGCAGGTGGGCTCTGGAGGGGGCGCCTGGTGCAGGGCCCGCCCTGCCACTTCCTAGCGGAGACACCATGTGCACCATGAAACTGGAACGACCTTCCTCCAAGGTGGGTTCACTGTGTCTATACATGTGAAGCACTCAGCCCAGTGCCTGGCGCCCAGTAAACAGCACAGAACTAAAAACCAAGTCTAACAAACAAATCCACAAACTACCACACCGGAACAACTGGGCATCTTTCATTGCTGCCAAGAAAATCGGGCTAATTCTAAACTCTCACTTACACCTGGCCCACTGTCTTTCTACAATACCAATTAAAGCAGCAACTCCTTCCTTTCTGAAACACTTTTTAAACATCCCTTTCCTGGACACCCATTTTGGTTTTCTTCCTCCTTTAATTTCCTGCTTGGTCTCCTTCTCTTCTTCCCAACTCTAAATGTTGGAGTGCTGTGGGGACAGTCAGATCCGTTTTCCTCCTGAAGCCGCCGTGCGCCCTAGGTGATCTCACCCAGCCCCAGGACTATAAATACCACCTCTAGCTGGGGAGGACAGAATCCACAGCTCTAGGTCTGACCGCCCATGCCAAAGACTCAGATATCCCACTGCCCCCAGGACATCTCTGCTTGGATCTTGCCACAGGTTGGGTTTCTGGAAACAGATACTGAGATGGAGTTTGGGGTGCAAGGTGTTATTAGAGATTGACGCCTGTGACACGAAGCGGGGAGGAAGCAGGGCTGGGCAGAGGGAGAAGGAGAACTGTGATGCAGACAACCCAGGGGGAGTGGGGAACTCTGCAGGGAATACTGCCCATCTGAGGTGTCCAACCATTAGGCCAAAACAGCCCAGCCTTTACGCCCACCTTGCTCAGTCACCGATGCAGGCCACCCCAGGTGACCTCGGACAGAGTGGCTTTCTGTGAACTGAGTCCAACCTGGAAGTTGTGGCCAGGTGGAGGCCATCTGCTGACTGCACTCCCTGAACCTGGGCAGCAAGTCTCTCCTGGAAGGGGAGCTGGGTGGGGTGTCTCCAGGTCTGCCACAGACTGTCCCCCAGCCATCTCCAACTCCACAAGTCCATAACCAAACCCTTGACTCACTCTGCCCCCCAACCTATTCTTCCCCGTCTTTTTAGCTCAGTCGATAGCACTACCACTTTGCTCAGGCAAAACCCTAGGTCTCAGCATTAACTCTTCTCTTCCTCAAATGCCCCATGGTCGAGCCATCTGCAAATCTTTTCAGCTCTACCTCCATTATATATCCAGAATCCGACCACTTCTCACCTCCCTCACATTGCTACTCAGCTGGGCCACACCCCAGCATCTCTTCCATGGTTGGCTGCAACATCTCAATAGCCTCCTCCCCCACTGTTCCCTCCACTCATCCTTCTAGTCTATTTTCTACACACAAACTGGGGTGAGCCTTTAAAAATACAATCAGATTGCCTCCTACCCCTGCTCAAAACCAGTCGGTGGCTTCCATTCATGTTCAAAGTTAACATGGTCCGATCCCTGACGATGACCTGGGAGCTCTACATCAGCCGGCCCAGCTACCTCTCAATATCATCACCTGTTACTCTTCCCACCTGATGCTCTGCTCCCTCCTCAGTCTCTACACCTGCACTGTCCAGCACCAGAGCCACCGATCACCTGAAACGTGGCGAGTCCATACCGAGATGTGCTGTTTGTGTCAAATACACATTGGATTTTGAAGGTTAGTATGAAAAAAAGAATGTAAAGTTTTTCAAAAACTTTTTAATGGTGATCGTATGTTGAAATGACAATATTTTGAATATATTGAGTTAAATAAAATATTACTAACTTGATCTTTTATTTTTTAAAATACTCTATTAGAAAACGGAAATCACACATGTGGCTCGTGCTATATTTCTATTGGACAGTGCTGCTCTAAACCAGGGGTTAGCAAACTACGGTCCGGGGGCCAAATCCTGCCCACCACCTGTTTCTGTATGGCCTGTGAGCTAAGTACAGTTTTTACATTTTTAAATGGTTGAAAATAAATCAGAAGAATAACAATTCGTGACACGTGAAAATTATACCAAATTCAAATTTCAACGTCTGTAACAGAGTTTTATCGGAAAAGAGTCATGATCATTTGTTTCTGGATTATCTATGGTTGTTATCTAAAATAGCAGAATTGAGCAGTTCCAACAGAGATGTCCTGGGATTGAGCAGTTCCAACAGAGATGTCCTGACCCATGAAGCCCAAAATATTTACTATCTGGTTATTTATAGAAAATGCTGTCACCCTGCTCTAAACCCTTCCCTTACTTTATTTTTCTTCATAGGACATATAACTATTGCTTCTCTCATTAGATGATAACCTCTCCAAAGGTGTGTAAGTAATTTTTCTCTTTTGTTTGGTGAATTATTGCCAGCACCTAAAACGGTGCCTGGCACATATTAGGTGCTTGATAAATACCTGTTCAATCAATAAATTTTAAAAATCCAGACTTCCAGGGTTGTGTAAGAAGCACCTTGTTATTTAAAGAACATGAATTACTACTACAACCACCTACTGTCTCTGTTTCTCAGCCAGAAAAGCTAAGGTTGATTAAGACTCCAGCAAACCCACACATACTGATGCTGGAAAGGAAACGCCGACACTTGGCCCGGTACCTCGCTGGGCTGGGAGACGGACACGAGCACTGCTGCAATGACAGGAGGAGCACAGGCTTTAAGAACAAAATGCCTTATTTTACTTTAATGAATTCTGTGATTTTTAAATGCTTTTTCTGCCCCTCTTACAGCGGAGAGGTAAAGCTGTCCCAGTTATCAAAAAATTCAAATCTCCTTTTCTTCAGTGGACTGCCCGTCATGGTGCTTTCCTCCAGTGTGTCTCCCATGTCCTGGGAACCACTTCCGGGGTCAAAGGACTCTGCTGCATCCAGGAGCTCCATATCGCTTCCGGCTTCCTCAAAGGACTTCTGGAAAAGGTCATAGATCTTCTGCTGCTTTGGGTCCTTCATCAGAGATAGAGAAGAAAAGATAAAAGGAGGAACCCAGGCTCCAACACCGACTCTCCCTCCACCACTGTGACACGAGGTGCCGCCCGATGGCGAGTGCGGACCAGCTCAGCAAACTATGTATCACTACAGCAGCCTTACTGCAGTAGTGTCTGACATCTCATCCCCCATGCTGCTTGTTGGATAAAGGGGAAAAAAAAAAAGAAATGGTTGTGAGCAACAAAGAACCTGCTTCCACACTATAATTATGTTAGAAATGTTTTCTCTCTTCTAACTTTCCAAGTCAGTATTTCAACATGAAATAGCTCCCAAGATCTCACTTCCTCCAAGCCTTTCTCCACTGAGGGGTTAGTTAAGCTGTAATGCACCTGCCGAATCAGTGTGCTTAGCCATGGCTTACATCTAATTTTCAGGATGGCTAATAAAACACACGCATACTTAACATATTGATAAGCAGATACCTGTACCTGTTTATGATTACCTTAAAGTTACAAATGATCAAAACGCCCACCCACTGTATCTATGCAGTGACGACAATGGTGTAGGGTCAAAATCATGCCCAGTGGTTACAACCACCACACACGATGGGCTCGCTATCACCCCTTTGCTGACCTCTCCTAAGTCTAAATTCCTGACCCAGACCATCTTTCAATCCAGAGGCACATTTTCAATATCTCCACTGACATCTCAGCCCTGGTGCTCTAGTGGTTAAGATTCAGTGCTCTCACCACTGTGGCTTGGGTTTGTTTCCCGGTCAGGGAACCATACTACCTGTCTGTTGGTTGTCATACTGTGGCGGCTGCATGTGGCTGTGATGCTGAAAGCTATGCCACCTCTATTTCAAATACCAGCAGGGTCACCCATGGTAGACAGGTTTCAGCAGAGCTTCCAGACTAAGACAGACTAGGAAGAAGGACCTGGCCACTCACTTCCAAAAAAACTGGTCCCAAAAACTCAATGAAGAGCAGCGGAGCATTGTCTGATAGAGTGCTGGAAGGTGACAGGATGGTGGAAAAAGACCAGGCAGGGTTCTGTTCTGCTGTACGCAGGGTCGCCAGGAGTCAGAATCGCCTTGATGGCACTAACAACAACAACAAACTGACACCCATAGCTCCTTAACACTAAACCTGTTTTAAAGCCAAAACCATCTCTCATCTCACTCCCGCATCCTTAACCCAGCTCCCCTTCCAGAAAAGCCTAGTTTTGATAGTCTACCAACATGCTTAATAGTCTCCCTGGCTTGAAATCACCAGGGCATCCTGACTCCATATCTCATATCTCAAACTGGTATCGTGTGTTTCTCCCATCTGTTCCCTCCTTGACACTTCACAGACATAATCTTTCCTGGGCCCCCTCACTTTGTATCTGCATGGATTTGCAAAAGCTCAACTGTACATCCCACTTCAGGCCTCCTCCCATTTGAACCCCTGACAGGTCTCTGCCAGGCTGATTTCCCCCTAAGCTATCTTTAACAAGATTTTCTTGTCACGTCATTGGGTCCCCTCGTGTCCACCTCATCAAGCCTAAAGTTGCTCCCCTGGCTTTTCAGGCTCTTTATAATCAGGTCTCAACCTAACTGGCCTCTATTTCCTCACTGCTCCTTAACAGAAGCCCTCCACACTGGTGAAGTGAAGCTGCCTGGAAACTGATCAGGGGAGCATGTCAAGGAAGAATTCCGGATCACTCAATGAACCTGCAGCCTACATTCCTCGCCTTTCAGACAGGAAGTGATATTAAAGGTCATTAAGGTCAACCCCACACCATCCATGTGTCCTCCTCTGGGACAGCCTCATCAGCTTCTGTCTGCAACTAAAAAGTCAAGGAAATGAATGCTACCCCACGAGGCAGCCTATTCTAAGTAGAAATAATGTCAATGTGCACTTGATTATGACGATGGCAATTGTTACCTTGGAACATGCATAATTGATGGAGGAAATTTCAAGATCAGAGTATTTCACTTTCCCTCTCAGAAGGCAGGTTATCTTAGTGAGACATAACCTCTTTTGCTTTTGTTGCCTACATAGGAGATAACATTTTCTTTTTCTAGTATTTGATAAAATTTTCAACCCTATTTTAATAAAAATAAATGATACAATTATTAATCAAAATAAATATTGATAAATCCTATTTTTATTATCTTGTACTTTAGGCAGAAATTCTTAACTAATTCAGAGTAACTGAGGGCAAGTATGAATGAATCAGTTATAAATAAATTTATTGTCACTGGTTGAGAATCCTTTAAAAATAAGGCTCTTTCTTTTCAAAGGGCATATAATAACCAAGGCTCTGTTAAAATATTTACCATTCAACTGAATTAGAGAGTTCTTTAAAAATCTTAAAAAATAAGGTTATTTTAAAATTGGCTTATTAACTGTTTACATCTATAAGGATAATTTATACTCTACATTTAAAAATATGATCTCAGAGTCTTATTTATTCCAATAATTACATTTGGAAGAAAGGATTTAGTTGCTAAGTAAATGTGAATGAAAGATGGAATCCTCAGACTCTTAGGTCTTGTCACCTACAAGATTCTGTTGATTTAACTCAGCTTCTGATGCTCAGCAATTCCGCAGGAAGGAGCAGGCACCTCGGGTTCCCGACAAGCTACCACAGGCCGCCTTTCTGTGCGAGGCTCAGACCTCCGTCCAAGCTCGTGCTAGAAGCATTCACTCAGGAGTTACCTCCGGCAGGCAGTACCTCCCAAGATTCACCTCCCTTGTCAACTACCTGAGCTCTCCCGTGCTTCCTGCTCCTCTCCATTGAGTTTCACGGGAATGGAGGAGGAAGAGGCCGTGGCAGCAATTGGGCCGGAGTGCTAGGCCAGGGCAGACTTGCTGGGCCCCGGTCATCCTCTCCAGAGGCAAACGAGCCTTCCTCCCAGCACCTCTGACAAGGCCCACCAAGTCATGAAGGATGTTCAGTGGCTTCTCACTCCCCACGATAAGAGGGGCTGTCACAGAAGGAATGCTGGGCCGGGTTGGGAAGCCTTCTACTTTGGGCTGGCTTCACATGACCTGTGACTTTGGGCAAGTCTTACTGGTCTGCATGTCTCAGTTCACCCCTCTATAAAATGGGGAGACACAGAATAAAATGCAATGACAGAGGGGACAATACGTTATCTAAAAACAACACCCCATGCTAAACACTCTCATTCTGTGCTCAGTCCGTGTTCCTGTGGCAGCTCTGCTGTGTGGTGTTGCTATGTACTTTTTGCAACAACTCAAAAGTTGCCATGGGGAGTTTCTGTCAGCGTCTAATGCCCTGATGGAAAAGGCAGCATTTGAAAGCCCTGGTTTTATGAGAATCTACGAGGGCATGTCACAAGCAGTAGGAGTTAATGCCATCAATGCTCCGTGAAGGAAATGTACATATGAATTGAACTGAGAATGACTGCAGGCCATCATTTTCAACTCCTGGGCTGGGGAGGGTGGCCCAGGAGTGATTCACACCTTCCCGCTCAAGACCTCAGGGCTGGGCAGACAGCTCAAGGTCTCCCTCCCCGCCAGTGCTGAGGAGCCCTGTGCTGGTGTTACCTTGTAGAGGTAATCAGTGGCTTCTGTCATTTCTGAAAAATTGGTCTCAGAAAGCCCGGCTTCACCCAGAATTTTAATCTTCTCTTGAATCATAGGCCTGTTGGGGAGAAATGAGCTGCAGTGAATACAACCTGCACAGAACCAGCAGACTGATTAAAATGAGGCCACCCTCCTCATGGGACTGTGACACGCTTAATGTTTCATATCCTCGCATCTCTCGAGGCACAAATGCCCATCCTGAAATAATGCCCCCTCTCCAAGGTAAGCCAACAAAGTTAGGGCTCAATATTATCAAGTTCAAAATTCTTTCCACTGGAAGATGTGTAGGAAATAAAGTCTACCTCATGACAACAAAATCTTGAACCTGGTGTCGTCAGGAGCCACCCAATTAACAAGTCCACTACACAAAGAGAGGGAAGGGGGGAAATCTGCACATGTGCAAAGGGAGGACCCCTTAGTCATAAGCCTGGGAACAGAGACAAGCAGTGGAAACTAATGAGAGAATCAAGAAACTTCCTATCAGGAAAGGGAAACGGGATTGGGAAGGAGCATTTTGGGATTTTTTGCTTAGGTAACAGACATGAACCCCCAGGGTTGGAAATTTTGCCTCAGCTCTGCTAATGAACCCTACACGGCCCCGGGTGAGCCACTTTCTCCCGATGCCCCAGCGGCAGCATTGCAAGATCCACCATTCTAAGATGTGGCCTTATCATACCAGTGCACAACACAAAGGGGCACAGTGGGCGTCACCCTGTCTCAACAAGTGCCTTATGGCTGGGAATATGGTGTTTCAAAAATGAAATTCCATCTGCATTGCACCACAATCAGTTCCCTTCCCTTGTCTCAGTGCTCCTTGACCAGTGGGCAAGGAGCACATCCCCTTATTCCTACAAGATGTCCTCATGGGCGCTGCAAGCCACCAGTGAGTGCTGTGAAGGAGGCCAAACGTGGTCACAATGCGGGGCGGGGGCAGGGAGGGGCATTACTAACAGGTCTTCTGTTTGGGTCCCCGAAGGCCTTAGCAAAAGCAGAAGCACGTAAGGAGCACGGGAAACATGGCATCGGTGTCAACTGCTGCTCAACCCCCACTGCTGGGCCAGCGGCCGGCCGTACCAAAGGTAGTCGTCAGCGGTGCCTCTCGCCACGAGGTAGTGGATGCCCACGGATCTCGACTGTCCAATGCGGTGCACCCGGTCCTCAGCCTGGATCAGCACCTGTGCGGCCAGGGATCAGCATGCACGTAGGTCAGGGCCCGAAGCGGCTCAGCCCACCACCGCGGGCAACCCCCTGCCCCCGACCCCACCTCAACCCTTCCTCCTCAAAGCTCTTCACTGCTGTGCCACGCGGCAGCAGGCCCACTAGCCTCTAGGTACAAGGACCTGTCATCTGACAAAAGAGGGAACCAAACGAAATGCTGGTCGGGGAACTAAATCTGCAGCTGGACGGCCGTGGGTGACCCTCCAGTGCCGGGCATGGTGTAGGTACTGCGAATGCAGAGCGAGCCTCAGCCCTGCCATCAGGCTGCGATGGAGGGCAAATGAAGGAAACCTGGCTCACTCCCATTCTTCTCTCCGTGGAATAAAATTATCTTCTAAATAGATAAACATCACACCCAAGGGAGAGGCCATATATGATTAGGGGGTACACTGTTTTTTTAATATGGTGGCAAGCCCCACAATAAATAAGGAAAACCAAGAGACTTGTTTCTATTATAAAATGCCTTCAACCTTGAAGTCCACCCATCATTAGAGCACTCACCGATGTGGCCAGTGAGAGGGACACTATGTCAGAATACCAGAAGGGAAATAACCTCTTTCTGGAGCTCAGGAGAAAATGTTATGAGTCCAAACAGACATCTTCTATCTGCTGTCAGAGCCCTCAGCTGATCAGGTAAGGCTAATGGATACAAGGACCTTGCTCAGGGAACACCACACGGTTGCCATGTTTGGCCCCATCAGCCAAGGCAGCTCACAGGGATGGTTAATAAAAGGGGCCCCGGCTGGAAGGCCTGGGCTGCCCCTGCTGCTGCCACACGCTCCCCTTCGGGGACAGCTACGCATTTGAGCTGTCTGTGCCCCAGTTTCCTCAGAGAGAGAAGTCTAAGATTCCTTCTAGTCTTTAAAATTTCGATTTTCCCACTGATGAGATGGAGGTGATAACCTTACTAGTTAGTAGGTCTTTGTGAAGACTGACATGTGGGAAGTACACACATGTTTATGAGGCCTAACAGAAGAGGAAATCGGCACTAGGGACAGCTTGCCGAAACCCTGTCTCCCCGACTGACACCAGCTCCTTCCTCCCTGCAGCCGTAGGCACGCCCGGGAATTCAAGTCCCCGACCCTTACCCCTGGGTTCCAAAACAGCTCTGCGAATACCACCAGATCCGCCGAGGAGAAGGTGAGGCCCATGTTGGCGGCGGTGATGGACAGCACAGCCACGGCGTGCCTCTCGGTCAGCTGGAACTCCTGGCACAGGGCCTCGCGGTCGGCCGAGGAGGTGGAGCCGTCGATGCGGATGTGCTGCACCTGCTGCAGGGGCAGGGGCGAGGGAGGGAGAGCGTGGGCCAGGCCTCTGGGACAGGAGCAAGGGAGGGAGAGCCTGGGCCAGGGAGAGCGTGGGCCAGGGCTCCGGGACAGGGGCAGGGAGGGAGAGCGCGGGCCAGGGCTCCAGTTCAGGGGCAGGGGAGGGAGAGCGTGGGCCAGGGCTCTGGGACAGGGGTGAGGGAGGGACAGTGTGGGCCAGGGCTCCCGGACAGGGGCATGGAGGGAGAGCATGGGCCAGGGCTCCCGGACAGGGGTGAGGGAGGGAGAGTGTGGGCCAGGGCTCCCGGACAGGGGTGAGGGAGGGAGAGCGTGGGCCAGGGCTCCCGGACAGGGTCAGGGGAGGGAGAGCGTGGGCCAGGGCTCCCGGACAGGGCCAGGGGAGGGAGAGCATGGGCCAGGGCTCCCGGACAGGGCCAGGGGAGGGAGAGCGTGGGCCAGGGCTCCCGGACAGGGGTGAGGGAGGGAGAGCGTGGGCCAGAGCTCCCGTACAGGGGCGGGGAGGGAGAGCGTGGGCCTGGGCTCCCGGACAGGGGCAGGGGAGGGAGAGTGTTGGCCAGGGCTCCAGTTCAGGGGTGAGGGAGGGAGAGCGTGGGCCAGGGCTCCCGGACACGGGCAGGGGAGGGAGAGCGTGGGCCAGGGCTGCCGGACAGGGGCGAGGGAGGGAGAGCGTGGGCCAGGGCTCCGGGACAGGGGCGGGGAGGGAGAGCGTGGGCCAGGGCTCTGGGACAGGGGTGGGGAGAGAGAGCGTGGGCCAGGGCTCCCGGACAGGGGCGAAGGAGGGAGAGCGTGGGCCAGGGAGAGTGTGGGCCAGGGCTCCCGGACAGGGGTGAGGGAGGGAGAGCGTGGGCCAGGGCTCCCGGACAGGGGCGAGGGAGGGACAGCGTGGGCCAGGGCTCCCGGACAGGGGCGAGGGAGGGAGAGCATGGGCCAGGGAGAGCGTGGGCCAGGGCTCCCGGACAGGGGCGGGGAGGGAGAACAGGGGCCAGGGCTCCTGGACAGGGGTGAGGGAGGGAGAGCATGGGCCAGGGAGAGCGCGGGCCAGGGCTCCCTGACACACCCCCGCTGCCACTCTGGCTCAGACCCAGGGCGGGAGGGGGGGGTACCAAGTTTGTCAGTGATCCGGCTTTCGGAGCTTCTTTTCTTTCAATTAAAATTTGTGTTAATTGTAGATTCACACGCAGTTTAAGCAATAATACAGAGAGTCCTTGTACATTTTGCCCAGTTTTCCCCAATGATAATAATTTGTAAAACCATAGTATAATTTCACAACCAGGATACTGACTTGGACGCAATCCACTGATCTTCCTCAGATCTCCCCAGTTTCACTTGTCCTCGTGTGTGTGTGTGTGTGTTATCAATTTATCACCCACATAGGGTTTCACGCATCCCCCTTCACAGATACTCCACGGAGCGGCTCCAGCACCACCAGCGTCCTCTTCTAGCCCTTTCATAACCACGTCCACCTCCCTCTTGCTCCTTCCCTGCCTCTTTCCAGTCCCTACTCATCTGTCCTGCATTTCCAAAATGTTTCGTTTCAAGAATGTTACATAAATGGAGTCAGACAGTGTGTGACCTTTGCGGATGGGCTTTTTTTTTTCACTCAGCATCATTCCCTGGAGATTCATCCAAGTGGCGGCGTGTATTGGTGGTTCATTCCTTTTTACTGCCGAGTCCCACCCCGAGGTATGTATGTACCACAGTTTACCCACCAGCTGCTGAAGGACATCTGGGCTGGTTCCAGTTTTTGGGCTACTACAGATAAAGCTGCCACGAACATTTGTACGGGTTTCTGTGTCAATGCAAGTTTTCATTCCTCTGGGGAAACGCCCAGGAGTCAACCTCTGGGTCATATGGTGGCTGCATGTTTAATTTAGCTTATTTTCTTTTCAGGGGCACTTATTTTTTTATAATAATAAACATTTTAAGGAAAATAAAAACATCAGTAATATTACCAATCTATTTTTTCCTCTCACTCTTTTCTCAATGTATAAAATATGTCTTTTAAATAAAAAGTTTTATATCCTGCTTTTCTTCAATAAACATGATATTGCAAATTAAATTATTAAAAAGTTTTCTAAAATATGACTTTTAACAACTATTTCACTATCAGCAATAGTATAATTTAACCATTCATCTATTTCTTCACACTTGGAGGATTTCTAATTTTCACTAAAAAAGGATAGGTTGGCGGGGCTGGCCTGGTGGTGTAGCAGTTAAGTGCGCGCGCTCCGCTTCTGCAGCCCGGGGTCTGCAGGTTCGGGTCCTGGGTGCGCACTGATGCACTGCTTGTCAGGCCATGCTGTGGCGGCGTCCCATATAAAGTAGAGGAAGATAGGCAAGGATGTTAGCCCAGGGCCAATCTTCCTCAGCAAAAAGACGAGCATTGGCAACAGATGTTAGCTCAGGGCTAATCTTCCTCACAAAAAAAAAAAAAAAAAAGGATGGGTTCGCGAATATCCACCAACAGGTTAGTGAATAAAGAATTGTGTTACAGGCACACAAAGGGATATTACTCAGCAATAAAAAGGAATGAACTGCTGATACACGCAATAACGTATGAATCTCAAAATAGGCTGAGAGAAATCAGATTAAAAAAAGTAGACACTGTATGATTCCACATTTATATAAAGCTCTGAACAATGCAAATTAATCTATAGTGACAGAGAGCAGATCAGTGGTGGTCTGGAGACGGGAGGGCGGGGAGAGACAGGAGGGTTTACCAAGGGCACAAGGAAACTTCTGGGGCTGATGGATATGTTCACTATTTGATTCTCATCCAACTGCACACTTCAAATATGTGCAGTTTACTGCATGGTAATTACACCTCAATAGAGCTATTAAAATAAAAAATTTAAAAAGGATGGGTTAAAATAAACTTCTTCATGGTTCTTTGCCCATATTTGGTTATTTCCTTAGACTACTAAAAATCAAGGTTGTATGGTAAAAGAGAAAAATGTAATTTAAGGCTCTCAATATAATGTCCAAATTGCTTTCCAATAAGTAATGCACGAGCACGTCCAGCTCACTGCACGGTTATCAATAGTGAGCACCGCACGTTTTGAAACCTCTGCTGATTTGATAGGTTAAAAAAAAGTATCTTGTTTTAATTTTCATTCATTCGATTACTAGCCAAGTTGAATTTTTTGATATTTCAGGTTCTTAAAGGATCCAGTGATCTCCACAAAGTTAAGAACCACTGATCTACACCATTATTTTTTATGTCTGAATGGACTATTATTTAATGGTATACCTATTGATGAACATTCAGGGTTGTAATTATTCAATATCATAAATAACAACGTGACTAATATTCTTGTACGTAATCTTTCTGACTGGTCTGGTTATTTCCTTAGGATAAATTCCTAGCAGAGGAGCTTGGAAAAATTAGTGTTCACATTAAGTTACTGCCAAATCGCCTTGCCAAAAAAAAAAATGTACCAAATATGCAAAAGAACCATGATTTAACCATTGTGTATGTGTGTGACAGAACGGATCCATTTTTTAGGTAATTTGAATCAATTCTCCTTTGTAATTTCTTTCATTGTTTTTATGCTTAGAAAGTCATTCCTCCATCTAGTAATCAGCTATATGTTCACCTGTATTTTCCTCTAATACTTTACGATTTCAAGGAGCTTTGATTCTTCTGGAGTTTAGTCTAGTAAACAGTGAAGCAAAGTTCCATTTAACTTTTCCCCCCCAATGACCCAGACTTTACTTGTTGAGTAAGTCAAACCTGATTTGTGATGACCTTTGATCATATATTTGTTTTTAATTTACACTAAAGGGCTACTACTCCTCATTCTGCCCATCTGGCCACCAATTCTCAGACCAGAACAACTGAGTTTTTTTTGTGTGTGTGTGAGGAAGACCAGCCCTGAGCTAACATCTGATGCCAATCATCCTCTTCCTTGCTGAGGAAGACTGGCCCTGAGCTAACATCTGTGCCCATCTTCCTCCACTTTATATGGGACACTGCCACAGCATGGCTTGACAAGCAGTGCTTCGCCGCGTGCCCGGGATCTGAACCTGCAAACCCCGGGCCACCGAAGCGGAGCGGGCGCACCTAACCACTGCGCCACCAGGCCGGCCCCACAACTGAGTTTTATAAGAGATTTTAATATCTGGAGGGACAAGTCTATCAGCCTTGCCCTTCCTTTTCAAAAAGTTGTCTTAGATACCTCTCCTGCTTATTTTTTGAGATGTTCTTTGGAATAACAGTATCAAGTTCCCTTAAAAAAATCCAACTGGAATTTTTATTAGGATTGAATGAAACCTACATGTTAATTTGGGAAGGACGGGCATTTTTATACCTTTTATCCTATTCAGAGGAGTACAGCACAAGTCTCTCCAAGTCTTCATCAGTTTCTACACTCTGCTTGGTGAGATTATTATTAGGTACTTTAAGTTTTTTGCTGCTGTGAACTTATCTTTTTCCCATTACATTAACTAATTACTTACAGCTAGAACATTAAAAAAGCAATTTACTTTAGCGTATTTATTTGGAATCCAGGCATCCTATGAAACTCTTATGCATTCTAATAGTTTTCTAATTAATTGTTTTGAATTTCTTGAAAATAGTAACAGCTCTGATTTTTCCTTTCCAGGGATTATAGCTTTTAATTCCATTGGCTGGCTTTCTGCATCACATTATATATAAAATTCAAATCCAAGTGGATTAATGGTCCACCTCTAAAATTTTCAGAAAAAAAAATACAGGAGAAAATCTTTATGACCTCAGGTAGGGAAAGATTTCTTAAACTGGTCATAAAAATTAAAAACTATATAGGAAAAAATTAATAAACAAAATATATTTAAAAATTTAAGATAAAAATTTAAAACTTCTGTTCAATAGAAACTTAAAGTAAAAAGATAAAAACATAACTGATAAAGGATTAATATCCAGAGTTTCTAACGAATATTTCCAAATCAATCAATAAAAAAAAGACAAACAATTCCCCAGAAAAACAGGCAGAATACTCACAGAGGAGAGCCTGAAATGAGCAATAAACACATAAAAGGATACACCGTTTACAGGTAGTCGGGGAAATGCAAATTAAAATAAGAATGAATGAGACTTCATTGGCAAAAGTAAAAAGTCTGATAATACTAAGTGTTGATGAGCACATAGAACAGCAGGAATTCCCAAATGCTGCTAGTGGGATTATAAATTTGAATAACCACCCTGGAGAACAATTTGACAATACCTAGTAGAGCTGAAGATGAGCCTATCCAATGATCATGCACGATCATGCATGGATATGCCCAAGCACACACACGGCATACTTACATATGTACACACACACATGCAAAAATAATCACATGACAGCAAAAACTGTAAATAGAATTCAATGTCCATTAGCAGGAGAATGGATAAACTGCGATACGGTCATCCAATGAGAGACCACTCAGCAGTTACTGTGAATGAACTACACATATAACACTGTATGGAGAAATCTTAAAAATAATGTTGAGCAAAAAAGTAGACTGCAGGATGCTTCCACTATGCTACCATTCGTGTAAATTAAAAAATATACAAAAAGAGACTATATATTGTTTAAAGATACACACTTCTAGAGTAAAGCATGACAATACGGAGGGGAAGGATTCAGGATAGTGGTTATCTCTTTGGACGAAGGAAGGGGAATGAATTAGAGGACCACTGAGGAGGCCTAAGTATTACATTACTTAAAAAATAAACTTTGAAATAAATACAGCAAAAGATTTCATTTATTAAATCCAGGTGGGGGCCACATAGGTGTTTGCTGGGTATTTCTCTGTCATCATCTATATGTTTGAAATATTACATAAGTGTAATAAAAGATGCAGGAAGAAAAAACGAAATTTATGGTCCTAAATTTAACCACAAATTGAAAGGGAGGTGAAAATACGATGTGTTTAGTTTTAATGAACATCCTTGGAAATCCTTCTAGATATTTTTCACTCAATTTAACGAGAGCCATAAAATTGTACTGAAGTCTGCGCACTGCCATGTACCATTAATAAAGCCACTTTGACAGTAACGAGGAGGAACAAAAGGAAGAAGAGAGGAGGATATTCACACAAATACTTGTCCCCACACAGGACAATGACTTTTGCCACCTCCTCTCTCAACCACTTTGTAATTATTTACACAGAATAATAGAAGACCCACTGGGAGATGCTCCTGACCAAGACTCCAGGGATATCTGGACAGAGCATGGAGGAAGCTAAATGACACTGCTAAGAAAATATTTTGGCCTCACCATGGTTCTATAAACAAGAATCCTTCAGAGAGTCTTCAGCAATGCTTCAGGAAACCCAATCTCAACTTCTTGGCTCAGGTCTGATCTCAGCCTGCTCAGAACAACTTAGCAGCCGACACACAGATAATAAAAGCATCCTGTGTTGAATTTCAAAGGGAGCTTACCTTTCTCTCAAGCTCCTTAGTAACTGCATCCAGAACCACCTTATGGTGTGCAAACACTAGAAACTTCTCTCTTCCACTTTCCAGTAGGTCCAGGATATATTCACTGCATTCGACAATGACAACACAATAAATTAGGCATCTACTCAACCAGTTGAAGTTAATTACTGAAAACTGCCTACATCTGTAGCAGTCATCTTCAGGGTACCTGCCTTCCCCAACCCATCCCCGCCCTTCTCTGGGGCCGACTTCTCCCCCTCTCCCTCACACCAGGTCACTTGACCAGAAGAAGCAAAATTAGGAGCTGTGGAGAAGCCATCTTCTGCCACGAACAGAAAGAGTTCTTCTGTACTTTCTAGTCGACTCCCATACACAAATAAATCGAGGTATTCTTATGTTTTATGTGTCTCTGATATGTTACTGAAACATTTTTATTACCTGGGATCACAGAAGATAATTAACAGTTTGCACATGGGCTGCTACTGTCATTATAATGTTTTCAATGCAAACCGAAGTGTCGCCTACAGATCTGAAAATGCCTAGGGAGGGGATTAAGGGATTTCTTGACAGTAATCAAATTTCTGGAAGCATAATATTGAGACAAAAGTAATAATATAGAAGAGATGGTCAGCGAAAGCTCTCCAGCTCCCTCCCTCACTACACTGCAAACCACAGGGCCAGCAGTTACGTCAGTGGTAAGCGAATTCTTTTCCGAGGCAAAGGAATATGGGGTGAAGGACTTTATTTTCTTGGTCTTCATTGTCCTGTTAGTTTACTTCTCTCCTCCATCCACTGTGTTTTTTCTTGACTTCCCAAGAAAAGTCTTATCTTCAGCCAAGGCCTTAAAGGAAGGCAGCTACCCCCGGGAACTATAGGGAGGAGAGCCACCCAGTCAGCAGACCTTGCAGAGGGCTCTCAGCCCCAGTGCAGGTCACTGCTCTCGCACGGACAGCGAGAAAGGGAGCTTCCTTGGACACAAGGCGCACTCACTCTGCCTGAGGCCATCCCTGTTGTGTGTGTGCGCATGCGTGTGTGGTGTGTGTGTGTGTGTGTGTGTGTGTGTGTGTCTGGGCAGAGAAGAGGCATTGCCCTCCTCAGAGGAGGACATATCTTAGAGTCTCCTATTACAGGGAGGTGATGGAAAGGTAAGTGGACTGTCCTCTAAACATCCAAGAATTATTTTCAAACAACACTACGGCCAACCAGGGTACGGATTTGAGTTCAATTTGCGAATTGCTGGTACTAACAGAATCTGCTTTAATTAGTTTGAGAGACATAAAATTTGCCATGATATAAGCAAAAAAGTTTATTGCCACAGCATCAAGAAGTCACAAGGCCATAAAATCAACTTGGCTGGCTTATAAACACCACAGGCTCCAATGTTCCTAACGCTTCTCTCCCCTCTCCATTTCAGACAAGGCTTTGCTGCTCTGCCCTTCCCTGCATCCCTAAGCCACCACGCTGGAAATATTTGCCTCCCACACCGACCTTGGCTTCACATTGAAAGAAGTCCATTCAAATGAAAACAACAGCAAAAAAGGGAAGAAACACAACCAGCAGAGGAAATTGGGGTTTTAAGATTTATAACCCAATTTCTACTTACTAGCTGTGTGACTCTGAGGTCCAGAGATGTAAGTGAGATTTACTGTTTCTGCATTTTAACAATGGGGCCAATATGACTTATTCTACTGATCTCACAAAGAGACTGTAAATGTGAAATGAGTTAACAGATGTCAAAATTGTTGGAAACTATAAAAGCACTATATAATCTATCGTGGAATTCTGAAAAAGTAGGTATGAGGTATGTGATGGACTGAGGTCTGTGTCTCCCCCAAAATTCATATGTTGATTAGGTCACGAGATCTAATAATTCGGGACTAGCCGTCATGAATGGGATTAGTGCTGTTATAAAAGAGATCCCAGAGAGCATCCTCGCTCCTTCCACCACGTGAGGACACAGCGAGAAGATGGCTGTCTGCAAGCCAAGAAGAGAACCCTCACCAGACACTGAATCTGCAGGTAGCTTGATCGTGGACCTCCCAACCTCCAGAAGTGTGAGAAATAAACGTTCGTTGTTTAGATCCCCCAGTCTATGGTATTTTTGTTATAGTAGCCTAAACAGACTAAGACAAGGTACGACTCAAGTTTATTTATGAGGTGGCAAAATGGTTAAATCGGTGGTTCTGGGCCCAGCACTCAATGGACCCTGAATTTTGTAGGTCACAAGCTGAGGGAGAAGAGAAAGGACCACTGCCATCTGTTATTCAGCAGCTCATGAGAAACGGGTCGGTGGGGGCAATTCAGATTAGTTTCTGAGATAAATTTCCAGGCCACAAAAACCACATCTGGAGTTCATTAGTCTCGTAACAGTATCATAAAACAAAAGGGCGGGTGACAGAGAGCTGGCCAACATTCAGTGGTCTTTGTGGAGAATCTTAGATTTGAATAATGCAGTGAACTCACTTTCTTACCACATTGAAGGGTGCAGAGGGAGGGGTTGGTGAAGCTGGGAGACCTGGAGGCCGAGAGCGAGGGTGGGGTAGGCTGTGTGTGTCTCAATTTATCCACAGGGCTTGGTCCCCATAACCAATCTGGCACCACCCAACCCACACTAAACACATTTCCATTGTAATTTAATCACATGGAGCGTTACCCCACCAGAGCCTCACATGAATGTTAAATAACAGAAAAGTAGGAAACAGCACGTCATTAGAGTTACAAGGTTCTACCACAGTGATATTTGAACATGAGTGGGTTTTTCCTTTCTTTCAGAAAGGCAAACAATTGAGATTTTTCAAGTCAGTGAATAATTTTAAGAACAGAAATTATTACTTCAGCCTTAGTTTATAAGGCGGAAGGAAAGCTAACTGTGACAATGGCTACTTGCCCATCTCTTTTGAACAAACTTTGTCATTTGCCTTTTTATGTAGGTAAATAATAGCTGAAACTTCATGTCTTTGGAGAAGACCAGAGAATCCCCTTAAGGCAGCCTTCTTGGTCTTCCACGAAACCCTTAATTTTTTCCTACAGGCAAGTGACCACCGTTCTCCCAGGTAAGAGGAAAAGCTCCCTTTAGTGTCTGGGTCAACCCCACCCTCCTTGTAAGTGGGCTGCTCCAGCTCACTGGGTTAAGACAGGACCTCTCGGGGACCGCAAGCACGTTCTGGCAGCGCTCCAGTGACAGGCCGACTTATGCCTGTGGGGGATGAGGCCCCGGCGCCCTCAAATTTATACCCAAGGCAGCCGTAATTCTAATCTCTGATCACTTCTTACGGCAGTGAAACTGCTCTGGCAGACTAGGGTAGCAGGTGTTTCTTTTAAAGATGAGAGAGAGAGAAGCCGACACTTGGTGACCACTTACATGACACATGGGATTTTAGCTTCAGCTGTTCTGTTGAAGAAGAGAATGAGGGCCTCTTTTTGCTGCTGTTTCTGTGGAAAGAGAAGTTGAGGGATTAAAGTCTCCCACTCTGACAACTCCGGGATAAGCTGACGTAATTATCGCCACTATGAGCTTTTCAAATCCTAACCCCAATCGCTAGAGCCAGGAGACCCCGACTTATCCATGCACTTTAGCCAAGCTATAGGAACTGTCTGGACTCGGGTTTTGTCCTGGAGACACGACATTATAGCTCCTCTGTCATCCTCCGAGAACTGCTGTGAGAATCACAGGTAGGGCTTTACCGTACGTGCCAAGCTCACGTGACCAGCTGGAATGCAGCCTTGCTAAGCACACCTATTCACTGCAGCCTGGTGACAACCTGCACATGACATTGGCCCAACGTGTTTTTCGCCTCCCCTTTTCCTTCTGCCAAGTTGCGTCCATACCTGACTGACCAAGCCCACCTCTGCCCAAAACTTAACTGAATTAATTCCAACTGATCCCAACTAGTCTATTCTAGCATCATCTCAAAACCATGGTTCATATGTTTTTGGCTTATCTCCCACATAAGGTAAATGACTTCCCAGAAGAAGAAACCATGCTTTCTCTCTAGTTTGCATCTAAATAAATCCTAATAAAGAATGCTAACACAGAAGATGCTCAAATAGTTTCACAAGAATATGAGATAACATGTACTCACTCTGGGCTCCCAGAGATGAAAGATACCCTTGCCATCAATGGCACGGGAGCCATCTCTTTCCACGAGCAAGCATGGGTTTATAGATGCCTCTACTTTCTCGTGCCTGGGCCTAGGAGGCCAGTGATTGACGTGACACAGCTTCCTCACGGAACAAAGAAATGACCCAATAGTAACAATATCTGTGGTCCTGAACTCAGTAATAACTCAGGAAAGCAGCCACAGCCAGACTGTACCTTAAATTATTGACACCACGGATGGTGTGAAAAGCTGCCTGGTAAAAATAGTTTCTTGGGTTTAAACACTGTCTTTCCTTCAGGTCTTGACGAGCAAGAAGAAAGATTCCCAGGAATCACAGGAATTCATGGGGGCACTGACAGGGCAGTGGATCCATTTCATCTTCTACATGTTGCAGCAGTGGTGGCCACCATCCCTTCTATTTGTGGCGGTAGTCCAACTGAATAGCTCAAACTTCCTGGGGACTCATGTGGAAGACGAGACTCCATGGCAGTGTGTCTCAACTTGTTTCTCAGCTACAGGCCCAGCTCAGACTCTGATGAGGCTCTGGACACCACAAAGCCTTTCGCCTGTGGCCAGTGAGCTCACAGACTTTAGAAGGTCCAGTCATGTGCCCTCAAAGGGTCCCTTGCAGCAGGGGAAGCCTTCTAACCTAATGCGGTCCCCGTTAGGATATGCTAAAGGGACAGAGCCGGGGTTCATACGATGACCCCACCCACAATGTGGATGCCTCAAGCTAACTGCCGTCAGTTATCCTCAGTCTATAATTTACCCTGTGTCCTTCAGAGACCGTCGTTATCTTGATAGGTCCATCCCTCCAACCAACACTCACCCACTCCACACTTGCTAATAAGAAAGGAAAAACGGTGAAGAGCACTTTCGGAAACCCTGCCCCAAGATTTAACACCTAGAGGTGATGTGGGTGTGAGGAAACGAACACCTTTACTCTATATGGTCGGGGGATGGTCCACTGGGCTAATCCTCTGGGGGACGATTTGTCGATGTGCACGAAAAGCCTTCAAAATGCGCCCATACCCTATGATCAGCAAGTTACTCCTTAAAATTTATCTCATGATGTAATTGGATATACACCAATTCATATGTAAGCCACTCTTTCAGTGTAGTCTTACTTAGAATAGGGAACAACTGAAATAACAAGTGTCCAACCAAAAATGAATGGCAAAACCATAACACAGACATGTGAGAAAACACTATACAGTTTACAGTTTTTAAATATTATGTTCTAAAAGAACATTTAACAACATGGAAAATGTTCATGATGCAACTTTGTAACCTGTTTTCTTCCCCACTTGATGTACATTTGTATGATCCCAATTCTGCTTTGAATATATATATAAGTGTATATAAAAATAATACATATTTTAAAGCAAAATATACATACACATTATGGAAAAAATACCCAAATGATATATGCTGAAATTATGTGATATAAAAGATGAGAGAATCTTTTTTTACAGTATAGCAACAAAAAGCGTTTAATAAATGTTACTTAAGTACTTTATTTTTCACATTTTATATAATAGACATCTATTATATTTTTAATGTGGGAAAATCAATAGTTTTGTCTTAAAAAAAAACTCCCCAACACTGGGTAGACATAATACTAGTCTATTAATGGTCTCACTTCTTTTGCCAGACACAGGCCAGGAAATTTTAAATGACCTGCATTCTTTGTTCCTGTCTCCTAGACTTTTATTAAATTAGATCCACTGTGGTTTCGATTTTATTTTTCTATGTTGGAAATTTGAATGGATTCTCAAAGGGCAGAAGGGTGAACTGATACTGTCACCAGGACACCTGTGTGGACTTGTTCCCTTTTTCTGCTCTTGGTCTTGCTGGTCAAAAAAGGGCTTTAGACAAAAGATGATTAGAGTCAGCTTTTCTTAGCCTGTGAAGAGATATCTATTATTTCAGCTGAAAATGAGAAAAAGCTTTTGTTGTACATTATATTTTATAAATTGGCTGCTTCACCGTGGCTCCTGTGATTTAAAGCTTTTTAAAAAATGTCTTCCTCCAGATGGCAGATGCGAGGGAACAAAGAAAGAACCACTTCTTGGCGGGTCAGCGGTGCTTTGCTGGAACCATCATAATGTGCAAAATCGCAGGGAAACTTGGGCCGAAAAAGTAACTATAAAAATGGGACTTTCTGTAGATTCATACAGTCTCCTTATCTGACTAAAATCTTAAAACCATGATTCCCCATTTTAACTCTTCCAACGCAGGATTTCACACCCGGCCAGGGTTTACAGGGGAGGTCAATGGCCATCTAGTCCAACTCCCTGCCTGAGCTAAGCTGGGCCGTGCTCCCAATGAGATCCACGGTTCACAGATTCACCACACTGCTGGCTTTAGAGTAAGAAAGGTGCTGATGGTCTAAAGCACAAAGCTCGTAAATTTGTTTTCTACTTGGATTTTCCATTATAAAAATGAATTTACATTAAAGAACACAAAAGGGAACCAAATTTTCAAGGATTAATCTTATTACTGGAAGAGCTTAGTATCTGGCTTCAGCATGACATGGAAGGTGTTCTATACCAACTCGATTTCTCCCTTTTGGGGACAAACTCTTAATTTTCCTAGGCCTCTGTGGAAGCCGACAGCAACTCTCAAGCAATGGACTCTAGGCTCTTTCTCAGCTGGATTCTTAAAGAATTACACTGCAATTTAGGCTTCATTTTCAGAATCTGCAAAATAGCATTAAGACTCTGGGGTGAGGAAGCAGAGACGACAATCACACAACAGGTGGGGCTCAGAGCAATTGGCACTACCCTTACGTACTTCTCCAGCAGGAAGCCTAGGAGGCAGGTTGTGGCTCCTCTTTTTAGGTAAGAAAATATCAAAATATCTCCCCAAATTTAAGGGATTTGCACAGCTACCAGAATTTATAAACACCCAACGTTCCTGATTTCCATGGCTTAGCCTAGTTAATTTCACATCATTGTAAACTCAGAAATCAAACTTTCAGGTTACATCTGAAATCATCTGTGTCAAGAGCCACTCACCTAACTTGGGGAACTATGCAAGTTGGCAAAACATTTAAAAAAGGCCTTCAAACTTTGTTGCACTAAGTTCAAAATTCCCATTACTTCTATTTCTTTCTTTTTCATTTTCTTTTTGGCCATACTGCAAAATTTACAGTTGCCTCTCGGCCAATTTAGGTGACTTTCCTCCTCATTTCAAATGCCCACTGACTGTTTTATTCAGTTGTCTACATTGGCGATTCTCAACCTGGTTCAGGAGGTGGACTAGGTACAGGCAAGGGTGTTCTCTGGGGAACTGAACGAAATACTAATAGACTTATTTCCACCACACACACAAGGAACTAAAACATAGCATTTTAAAAATACTCAGTTCTTTGCATCTAAAAATACCACACATCTGAATTTTTTCCATTAATATTACATTTACTGTACTTGTTCATTGGTATTCTTGTCAGATAGAGTTCACTAGTGGGCAAAAGTTAGTAGACATTAAAGGTTTAAGAAAATTATAAGAAAAAACTTAAAACTGAGAAAAAATTTTTCCAATCATTGAGTTTTTATCTCTAGAAATCAGAAAAAGACCACCAAGACTGATTTTTGCAACAGAATACCCTGGTTCTGCTCATGGTCCCACTGAAATATAATTTGAGGACCACTGGTCTTTACATCCACATCAATGTCGTGGAACTTGCTAGAAAACTCCATGGCAAAGAGATTATGCCTGCTCATTTCCAGCAGACCACCCATATTATTAACTGTAATACAGCATAAATTAAATCCAGGTTGACAATTTACCAGCGCATCCTCTACCCAACCCTGTTTCTCAGAAGTTACCAGCTAGTCTCGCTCATCACATAGTAAAATAACATTAAAGAAAAATCACACATTCTGTCTTGTCATTCTTATTTATTTCGTAATCTCCCAGAAGGCTGGGATCTCATCTAGATCTAAGTTCCTTTATACAGGGTAATATCAAGCCCAGATAATACTTTATGATAATGTCAAAAAATGTCAATGACTGCTATTTTCTTGGCAATGAAAAATGCAAGATTTTATCCCAAGAGGACAGAAAAGGAGCTGACGTAGATTACTCTATAGCACTTAGCATAGTGTGACACTCAAGACAGATATTGAAGTGTTCTGAAAAGATAAAACTACCATAGTGGAAAGAGCTCTAAAATACAGGGGTAACAGGCTTGGCTATAGACTCAGCTCTGCCACGGAGCAGCCATAAGACCTTGGGCCAACCGTAATCTCTAAGAACCTCAGTTTCCCTCTCTGTAAAATAGGGATGCCAACTTCCCGCCAATCACAAATGACTGTAATAAGGATTCAAAGGGTTAAGAGGGTTTGAAAACTCTACTTTTATATAAATGTCAATTTGTTATTTTGACTAAAGCAATGACATGGGACGGTTAGAGGGTTAACGTATATATCAAATACATGTAGGACTAATTTCCAAGAACTGTCACTAGATGGAGGCATTCTCAAAATACACTAAACATAAATTCCAACTTTCTTTGAGGGATTCAGTATCTATATCACCATCCTGCAGTTGCCCTGGGGTTTATTTTTATGGCCATCCATCAGCAGTGATCTACACAAGTATAAAACTGCAAATTAACAGGTTGGCTGAGCAAGGAAATGGGCTCACTGGCCTTGCCCAGGGAGGGGTAGGAGGTTACGCAGAGGCAAGTTCAGAGAACTCTGGGTAATCCCCGTAGAGCCCCTCACAGGAAGGAACACCTGTGCACACATCGACTTCCAAACACCTGTCTTCAGCCCTGGACTCACTGTTTTGTTCTTGGTGGTCATCTCCTTGGCTGCCGCATCCAGGGACGCTCTGGTCCTGGCATTGATCCGGCCTGGGGCAACGACTACCATCTTGCGCTGTTTGGCGGGAAGCTGGGAAAGGACGTCGGATTTGAGGCGGCGTAGCATGACCGCTTCCTCCAGCAGGAGCTTCAGCTCCCTGAGGTTGGAGGAGCCTGAGTAATCCCACCCCCAGGGCATCTGTGGAAGGAGAACCGAGACACAGCGTTAGACTGTCCCAGGGCCAAGTCCACAGGGCCGTGACCTCCAGGTGGTCTCTCTTCTCACCACCTTCTCTTCCTCCGGCTTTGTGCGAAGAACGTCAAGTGGCCTTAAAGAATGAATAAAACCCCGTATAAGACAAATGAGAAACAGGAAGGAGAAGGGAAAAAGAAAGTCAGGAATAGGGGAATAGAAAACACCCATCATGGTGTTCTACAATTTGGCACTAAGCTTTCTAGCAGCAAATGCAAGACATCAAGCCGTTTGGTGTCCATTATATTAAAAAACAAACAAAATACTCAGCTTGTCAGACCATTCCTACACACCCAATACAGAAATAATCTTCCCTAGGGCTTATGCTACAGAGTCCATTGCACAATGTAATAAATAATGTTGTCAGTAATATCTTTATTTGATGAGATTTACAGGGATTTAAAAAGCTGTGTCCTCAGTATGGGTGACACAATTGAGTGAAGTGTAGCACATGCAATTGTGTGATGGTGGTGGTGGTGGGGACTGGAGGAGGAGCCCAGAACACAGGCTTCTGCCAATCTGGCTGACACCAGAGGGGGGTTTTAGAGCGCCCAGCCAGTCCCTCACAAGCATGGCTCCCTCATGTAGTGGCTCATGGGAGGCAGTGAGCAAGAATGTCTATTTCCTGCCTCACAGCTAGAGAAGACATTATCGATTAGAAGAAAAACCCTATCCTTCACTAACAATCTTACTGGAAAGAGGACTTATTCCCACAGTCTTATAGAGAATCAGGGAGCCAGGGTGTCTGCTGCCTTATATTTTCAGCCCTTCAACTCCCCTCCTGCCCCCCACCCCCCCGGACTGTGAACTACCTCGCGTAGGGGCTAGGCTTGTCCATGTCCGAGGGCCACTGGGGACATGGCAGGCGTCTAATAAACCCTTGCTAAACTGAGAATAGGAAGAGATGGTCAAAGGTGGAGAAATAAAATGATGAAAAACTGCTTCTTCTATTAAAAAAACCTGAAATCAACTGGAAGTTCTCAGCAAACGCCTCATGCTATGGGGTCGAAAATGAGCTCAGTATGGGGCACTCTCTTCAGCGGCTTCTCTTAATCCTGGACGCTGGCCACACACACACACACACACGGTGGCCCTGGCCTACCGGCTGCATTAAGTAAAAACCATGCTGGGGACAAGTGGACATCATAATTACTTTGGATATCATACTCCTAAGTTCTAACATTGTCAGCTTTTAATTTTGCAGGTTAAAATCCAATAATACTAAAGATTTTAAGTTGGACTTTGGAATAATCACAATCCAACAAGGTTTTGTTGAGCACTAACCAAGTACCAGGCACTGGGCTAGGTGGAGGAAAGGATATGAAGATCTGGAAGGGACTTGTCTGTGGTGTGGGTGTGGGGGAGGGCAGCAAGGAGGGACAGGACGAGTTTGAAGATGGCATGACCCAGGGGAGATGGTGGTCGGAGATGGAACACAGGAAGGGACAGTTTGGGGAGTAAAGGCAATGGATTCCATCTCAGCCCCTTCCATCACTAGCTGATCATTATCCCACAAGCCCAGCGAGTCGAGGAAGAGAAGATCCTTTTCAGAAAGAGGAACATCTGCAAATAGGACAAAGGTACAAATCGCACATGAAGAGCTTTGAGGAACCATGAAAACTGTATATAATCAATCTAATCTGGATTGATCCATGGGGAAAGTGCATTACAGATCTGCTGAAGTGTATGGCTTTAAATACATTTAATAACGGAGAAATTTTCTGCCTCAGTTACCAGCTAAAAATGGTTTGCAATTAACTTTGCAAAGCACTACAATTTACATTATAAGTACTTTGTTTGAATGTAAGTGGATATTTTTAAAATACTTAAAAACTTTTTTTTTCTTTTAAAAAAAGTATTTAAAAAATAAGGCAGACGATCTCATTTACATCATGAACTTGCATAGCAAGGCTTTTCCCTCATAGACGGTATAGGTAACGAGTAAGCTGCAGCCATTTCCCTAAAGCGTCAGTGTCTTCGACGCAATAGTGGCTTGGGATATTTGCGGTTTGATGACAAAAACAGGAATCTTTAAGGTCTGAATTAATGAGGTTTTAGAGCCCAGCTAGTCCCCTGCGGCAGAGGCAGTGCCTTCAAGGAAGAAGCCAGGGGCAGCTCAGGATGTGGCTTCAGGGTTTATGAAGCTACAGCAGAACAACCAGGGAAAAAGGAGAAGTGATGAGCCCTTGAGAGAGGGGCCAAGTGTGGTGTTCTAATTCAGGGCCACGCTCAACCTCAGGGGAACAGAGTTCAGGAGTTTGAGAAGTCTCACCTTGCCAGACAAAGGTCTACTGTTGAAGGATGAATTCATTGCCCTGGCCATAGTTTTGAAAGTAGAGATTAGCAAGAGAAATTAGCGCATCTTCCCTCGTGGTTTTCAGCTCGTGGATGTTTCTGAGCCTGGATCAGAGAGAGCTACCTGGGACTCAGGACGAAGATGAGAGCCAGCCCCACCCACACCCCAACTGTCAACAATGACACTGACTGCGACTTCTGTTTCTATCCATCACAGCAAACCGAGATCCCAGCACATAGACGGGTTTTATTCCAATGGTAGGTCTGGAGAGAGTGAAGAAGGCACTAAAGCCAAGGAGAAGGCCATGGACTGTGTGTCTCTTCTCAAAGGAAAGCAGCCCAATCCCAGAAGAAAACAGCTCAGCTCGTTAAGGAAAAGAATGAACATCCAAGCAAACATGGAGCTGACTTGCTGGGTCATCTTTTCTTGGGTTGTTTTTGGGGAAGAACACTGGAAATGTGTACAGGCTTTGGCCAACCTGATTTATGGCTGCCTGACACTGAGAGGCCTCCCAGCTCAGGCCAAGAAACACGCTGAGTCCACCAGGAACACACTGCTGACCTGGAAGGGAGACATGACCACAGCAAGGGGAAAAAAGAAATCCTTGAAGCTCTGGCCATGATCTACCACACTCGGGATGGCTGGCTTCTGCAGAACCATGGCAGAGAGGCCTACTTCAACCTGCAGAAGGCAGAGGGAAACGTGAAGGGGCTGAAAGAATTATAAAAGGAGGGCTTTGTGGGGGCGGGCCCCATGGCTTAGCGGTTAAGTGCACGCACTCCGATGCTGGCAGCCCGGGTTCGGATCCCGGGCGCGCACCGATGCACCGCTTCTCTAGCCATGCTGAGGCCGAGTCCCACATACAGCAACTAGAAGGATGTGCAACTATGACATACAACTATCTACTGGGGCTTTGGGGGGGATAAATAAATAAATAAAGTTAAAAAAAAAAATCTCATAAAAGGAGGGCTTTGTGGATTACAAGGCTCAGAGAAAGACCTAACAACTGCTTGGGACAGAGCCTCCTGGGCCACCCGCAGGTTGACCCTAGCCCTGGGATACTCTGAAAAGGCAATGGGCAGCATTATTACTGCAAGGGTGATAGGGCATCAGATCTGACCAGTCTATACGAGGAAATTGCTCAGATGGAGCAGCTGAGGACCAGCCACGATCAGGCCCTCCAGCACTTCCACTGGGTCCATTCTATCAGTGTTTCTTTGTTCTCAAGTCAGCCCCTAAACCGCAGAGGCGAGCCTGCTACCAGCCAAGGCTTGTGCCATGTCTGGAGAGGCCCAGCAAAGAGAGTCGCAGCAAATTCACCCGCATAAGGAGGGAGAGCACACACGACACGCACGTGACCTGTGATGTAAGGGCTGATGAGGAAATCCAGGGATAAAAGAGAAAAACATTGGCTCCCCCTCTCCTCTTCCTCCCCTTAACCCCCTGACTCTTGTCCTCTGGCTTACAAGAGAGAATGTTTGTAGCAACTAGAATTTTCTTTTCTTTTTTTTTTTTTTAAACTTTTTTTATTTTTCCCCCCAAAGCCCCAGTAGATAGTTGTATGTCATAGTTGCACATCCTTCTAGTTGCTGTATGTGGGACGCGGCCTCAGCATGGCCGGAGAAGCGGTGTGTCGGTGCGCACCTGGGATCCGAACACGGGCCGCCAGCAGCGGAGTGCACGCACTTAACCACTAAGCCACGGAGCCGGCCCTAGAATTTTCTTGACCTAGATTCAAAAGTGAGGTCCTGGGGGATCCGGAGGAAAGCCAAGTGATGAATTTATCCTTCGACAGGAGTCCTTGGTCTGGCAAGGTCATCCTTTTGAAAGTGGGTGGCTTTGAAGACACGCAAAGGAACTGGTGAGGAGGACAGCGTCCTGTGCTCAGCTGGCTTGATCAGATCAATGAACACAAATGGATTCAATGACCCATCAGGAGGAATTTGGGATTTGTGAATAATGCAATTTAAACATTTTTAAGAAACCCTAATTTCCTCTGCTTATAAAGGTAATCCATTTTGGTGTACATTGCCTTCCATTCAGATATCAGAGAGGAAGAGAAAGGAGAGAGCGAGAGACCTAGAGAGGAAGAAAGGAAAGAGAGAAGGAAGGAAGAAAAGAAGAGAAAGTTTTTTTCCAATGTTGTATTTCCCAATATCATTGAATAAACATTTTTTTTCAGTTAAAAAAAAATTGAGGTTTTAGAAATTGAGATTTTGATTGCAATGGCATTTGTGTTTACAAGGTTTCCTCTGCCATTTTTGGAGAACTGAAGCTGCTCAGATTGTAGCTTCTGAGGCACCTGCTCCATTGACATCGTATTCATAGAAATAATTTATAGGTCAGAGGCTTCTGGCACGATTCACTATAATGAGTCATTATCGACAAGCCCGGGCTCTCTGATGGGAGCCTATAAGGCAGCTCGACCGTGCTCCTACACCACCTGCTCAAAGGCTTCCTCTGTCTTTTCTGCAGAGTATTTTTTCACTTTTTAGAGGAGTTTTTCATACTCCTCCCATACTCCTTCACCCACCTCGTCTCCTTTTCTCCTTCGGCCTCGCCTCTAGCTCACCTCAGTGCCCTTCTCTCAGGCAAAAGCTGTTGGCTCTCAGAGCTCCACACACCGACACATCAGCCACTGGTCCCTTTATTGGGAAACATTAACCTGGAGTCACCACAAGCATTAAAACTGGGAGGGACTGTTCTCATCCTCCCTTTGGGGACACTCCGAGGTCAGAGTTAGAGGCAAAGCAGAATACAATCTTGGTCCAGCTCCCCGGCTGGTGGTCTGATCACACCATGGCCGAAGAGAGGGAGCAGGAAGGTAAGTGTCAAGTCAGGGAGGGGGATGGGGCTGGGGAGGGAAGGGGATAAATACCCGCTTGGCATCACAGTAGCGAAGTCCAAAGGCATGAAACTGAGGGAAGAAAGTTGGCTTGACCGCAAGGATCTGCGTGTAGAGCTCTGCAGGCCGGGACATGGCTGGCGTGCCCGACAGTAAGATCACCCGGTTGGCCATCTAGAAAACAAACAGCCAGAGGTGCTGAGAACATGGAGGAGCACACAGGGAATATCCCAAATGCCCCAATGAGACAGGAGCTGGGTGCCCTCAGGAACAGCAAAATCTCTCAGAATCCAGCATAAATGCCTTCCACTTCCTGGACACTCTGATTGCTGGCTGTTCTCAAGTTTACAGCTCAGAGCCCAGGCAGATCTAGATTCCAAAGACACTGCAGACTGGCCTCACTCCAGAGCTCCGTGTGGCCCACACCTGGGAACTCTAAGGAAGGTACTACAACCAGAGAAAAAGAGAACCTCACGGCGTGACCCATGTCAGTAGCTGGACATCATCTCCCAAGCTGCCTTCGTCGCACTCTCTGCCCATCTCTATATTAGCACTTAGCACAGTACACTGAGTCCTAGCTCTCTGTCTCCCTCACTAGACCGCAAGCTTCTTGAGACCAAGGACTGGTCTGTATTCACCTTTATTTTCTGTAGCACAGTGCCTGGCAAGAAGTAGGTAATCAGTAAATGTTCTCTGTAAGCTGAAAAATATTCAGAAGGAAGCTAATTAGTGCCCTAGAGAACACGGAGTAGGCTCAAAGAATCCAGCACAGGAAGAGGAAGTGGAAGTTTGGGAGATACCCATGGCTCCGAACTTCTTCCAGAATGGATTTCTGACATCTGAGGTGAACTCACGACCAAATAATAACACCCAGGAGCAGCCCTTTCTCACTCCCAGGAGGAAGAGTCGGGGACGGCCTGTTACAAGCTGCTATGTGATTTTCTTTAGAGGGGGAAAAAAGGGCCGTCACTAACTCAGCTTCACAATGCTTTGGGTGTAGAGATCCTGACTCAAGCTCATTTTGCAATTGATAAGCACTTTAAAAGGTGGGACCTGGAACCATTTACTCTAAACTCAGCCCTGGGTCTGCAGCGGCCTGCTCAGCAGTGGGCAGGATGGAAATAAAGAGTGGTCAATTCCAATGACGAACTCCACGTTGCTCAGTACCCTCACAATAACCTGACCCCAGGAGATCAGACCCAAATATCGTACCTCTTATTCAGATGGGAAAAAGGGTGAGAATAAAAAAGGAGACACTTCCCACTGTATCAGAACGTGGAATGGCCAAAGATTACTGGAGGTAAAATTCATTTCAGCTCAGGGAAGAGACCCTATCATGGAGCTCAGTTGTCTAGAAACAGCTTGTTAACCACTGTACCCTTGAGTTAATGACAGTAATACAAGGCAATCACATGCAGTAAATCACCAAGGGGAGGATATGAGGTCTTCAGATGGATACACTGCTCCATAAAAATAAATAAAAAAAGGTGCAACAGAGAGAAGGAAAATGATTCTTTATAAATACACAATATATACAATTCTCAAGATGCACTCCTGCCCTCTCAGCAACCACCAATACCTAATTCCATTATGACAGGAGAGCTATGACTTTCTCCAGCTTTAATCTTCCACAGTTCAATTACCCGGCATTCTAATTTCCTGCATGGTTTAACGCAGACTCATTAAAATAACAATGAGTTTCTTCAATGACGTCTGTAGCATCCCATGCCTGGCTCAAGACCATTTTCAACGAAACAGGGAAAATGAAAAAGGCTTATCTATAAGAGAAAATCGGCTCATCATCCCAAATCTATTCCCCACATGGTGGCTGCTGTTGCCTGGGGATGGAGCCTGGAGAGCAGTTCAAAGAGCAGGGTATGAAAATTCACTCCAGGGTGAATACTGAGTCAGATCTCTCATCCATTGCCCAGACTAGGGGGTGATGGACCCACTGAAAATGGACATTTGTGGGTGTTAAAAAGCAGAGGCAGGATTATGGAAAAAGAAAAAGGCCAGCTTTGAAAGCAACCAGCATGGCATCTCATCTGCTATAGAATGATGGAGCCTGCTCCCTGCTCAGCCCCAACACGTCTGCAGCATCATCACTGTCACCCATAAGGCCTTTAATCGTGCTCAGCTGCAATGATTTATGTGTCACCCTCCACCTCTGAGAACTTCCACTCTGGGAAAATATAAATGCAGAAAGCTACATAAATCCACACTAAATTGAACACTTTATGGTTAACTCCTCTAGTTAAGGGAAGAAAGCAGCACCCAAGAAACCCACAATGGAACAAGGTAAAAAATACCTTCTATTTGGTGTCAGAGAGAAATTATGTGATTCCCATGAGCAGACACCGTTGGGGGCAGATGACCTTGAAAGACAGGTTTAGTCTGCTCAGGGGTCACGGTGGGGGTGCCCTGCAGGCTGACAGCAGGACAAGTTGGTATATATAATTTGCTCAATGAAGTAATTCAAAGTAATCCATAACCTACACATGGATTTTAAAATATGAGCCAAGAGAATGTTCTATTGTCGAGAAGAGAGCTGAAATTGTTTTAAGTTCAAATAAGAAGCAGTCTGGAAATTCTTCAACACTTTCCATTGTTACCTCTTTTTTTTCCTAACTGAGCCAATAACTTGCTTTACTGAGTTATTCTGATTGGCTATGACACAATTTACCAGGACCCCAGACTAGGGAAAAAGTCATGCTCCCCAAAGCTTAGTCCCATTCTTATACCCAATATTATTCCCAACGGTACTCTAAATAAAGTTTATGCTACAGGAGAAGTCCCCTATGATTTAGCAATAGGACATGAGGAGGCAGGTGACATCAAAGAGGTCAAGCCCATACCACCCAAGTGTCCCAATATGCATTAGCCCTGATGTGGCAGGGACAGTGGAGCTATGTTTTAATTAGTTCAGAAGAATCTTGAAAAATAAGGATAGTGGCAAACATAGTTTGGGGACAAGTGACCAAAAGTACAAAGATCAAGAACAAATGCAGGATCCTAGCCACTACCCAAGAAGCAACAGAATAGTCAACACTCATAGGCAAATTGAAAACCTGAGAACAAGAGGGAAAGCTCATTGTTCAGGAGAATCCAGTGATGAGTCTGGGGAGAAGATGCGAGGTTCCATTCTTTACTCTGCTCCCCATGACACACAAGACCAAACCAAGACAAACGGTATAATTATGACCACTGTTGACCAGAGTCGCCCCAGGGATCAGCAGAGGGCCACCTACTGCTCAGTGATACCCAGTAAATGGCTTTTCTGACTCTCGGGTTAGGTCAGCACATTTCACAAAAAAGCAGTCCCTTCCAGGTTCCAGCCTTCTTCCAAAAAGAGACAGAGTTTCAGCCACAAGTCTGGATGGCACTGCCTTTACTAAGCTGATCTGCATGATAAGCATCGCACTTTTAAGCTAAGTGAGTCTCACTGCTCTGATATTAATGAAATTCTGATGCCATGTGTAAGGCAACTAGGTCTCGGGTAACAGAATGAAGACTGTGGCTACAGGTGTACTGGTTCAAAAATACCAAAATGTTACAAAAATACATCAAACGGTATAATTACAACCGGTCACTTCAAGTTATGCAAAACACTTGTGTATAGCGCACACGCTGAAATTAAACACTAGTGTGGGGTTTGTATTAGACTCCTATAATTTCCTTTTAAGTCTGATTCTGTGATGAAATTGAGAAATATTCACCAGAGAGTCTGGACCACAGAAGACTCCTCCAGTAGCCTGACCACACTGGGGGCAGAGCAGGCCCTCCAGCTGACACCACCCTCCCTTGTGGCCTAAGAGACGCAGAGAGCCACCTGTTCTAGATGCAGAAAGACTGGGTTTTCTCGTCTGGATACAGAGGGACTGGACTTTCTCTTCCAGATGCAGAAGGACTGGGTTTTCTCGTCTGGATACAGAGGGACTGGACTTTCTCTTC